CAGGAGAGTCACGAATGCGCATCACAGAACAGAGCAAGGCGAGCATTTGTGCTTTTGAAACTTAAACTTTGTTATTTATTTATTAAATGAGCGATCGTTTCGCTTGATAAGACCCTTATTCATCGTCTGGAATCGTTTAAAGCCCTTTGAACAGTTTGCAGTTTGCACTAAAACTGTCTTTTGGACCTTGAACCGTTTGGTTCCCATTGAAGTCCATTATATGGAGAAAATCCTGGAATGTTTTCATCAAAAATCTTAATTTCTTTTCGACTGAAGAAAGAAAGACATGGATATCTTGGATGACATGGGGGCGAGTAAATTATCAGCAAAAGTTTTTTTTTTTTAAAGTGAACTACTCCTTTATTTAAATAATGCTCTAAACTGCCTAAATGAGTAAGTCATTGAATCATTCGTTAATTAAATTCATTCAATCGTCTGATTCCTTCAGGAATGTACAGTAGAAGTAAATATCTCTCTTATTGAATGAGTCACTGAATCATTGATTCACCCGATTCGTTCAAAACACAATATTCTTTACATAATATTTTTGATGGCAAAATTGAGCAGACAATATTGTGTCTAAAACGTCACACAATATTTTTTTTAACTGTTGTATAAAATCAATATAACATTTGCACTCCTGCTATTCAGGACAATAACAGCACTCGTGTGATACTCGTTACTATTGTGAAATTGTTTAACTAAATCATACGACAAAAATGAGGTAAAAATTCATAAAGGGGCATTTTTTTGCCCCAATACATTCATTAAAAACAGCATTCTATGCTATATACAGTATAAAGCTTTGATATTCATAATATGTCAACCTGTGGTGTTGGCTGTATGGTTCCTGACCTTGGCAAGATGATGACTCAATCCTGAGGGCAGGAATCTGTCTGAAATCATCCATCAGTTGTCATATAAAATCTTAAAGAAGCTCCATCTTCATAGTTTGACCTATTGTCAGGCGTCTTTAAACGAGCTGAACCTTCCAGAACAGAGTTCAGTGCACGAACACACACTCTACAGCGGAAAATGTGGAGGAATGTTTATTCGCAAAAAATTATAAGTAGATTCAAATTTAAATTTGATGCCTTTTAAATACTTAGAAATGGTCAAAATAATATAGTAATCATTTAGCGATTTTAATATCCTGCATTGCTGCTCTTTTAATTATAATAACAGTGAATAGAAGTATTATTAAAATGTCATAAAAGCATATATTGTACATTTGCACATACATCAGATTTGTCATTATTTATAATATTGATGCATGAGAGTCAACCTGATCACACTAAATGCGTCTTTATAGCATGCATGTGTATTGTCGTGTAATGTATACGCTAAAGTGAGTTTTAACATGCATATGATACGCATGGGTTGGTTTAGGCGTGTGTTGTGGGGTGTGTGTGTATTATACGTTTGGGTAGAATTAGTGGTGTGGGGTGACAGTGTTTTACACACAAATGAACTGCGAATCAAATGCACGCGAAAAACCGCGTATCAAAAACTCATTTTCGCGTATATAAATTACACGACAATACACGGTGCGAAGTTGTGATCACTGATTTATGAACACATGATTCTTTTGAGTCAGACCTTTTGAACGAATCAGACTATCAGGTTCTGCAGTTCAACTCACTGACTCAGTGATTCAGTCTAAAAGATTCGTTCACAAATCTGACTGATTCGGTTCTCTAGTTCAACAGTTGACTACAGTATATGACTTCAGAAGAGTTATAGCGCTCGAGACTATTGTTATGATTCATTTGCATCCTTTTTGAAGCTTTCATTCTGGGGTGAACTTTTCCTTTAAACATATTTTATCAGGTGATTTGATGTAAAATTACTTTTTGAGGCGGAAAATAATTGCATATCGTACCTTCACATCAGCCCTGGTTTATTTGGGCTCTTAATGTTCAGTCTCAATATGATTTCCATGCGCTTTGATCTCTGGCCTCTCTCTCAATGATAAGATGTGATTTTAATGTCTGTTCAGGAAAGCTGAATATTTTGGGTGGCGAGCGAGCGGTGAAGGGGAATGTGACTCGCCCGCTCGAGTGCCTATTTATCTCGGAGCGATGATATTAGCATCAGACCAACATTTGTGCAGCTTAGACCTAAGATGAATACCAATTGATATATGCCCTCATTGTCTGGATGAAACATTTGCACAATGAAGCATAAATTATAAAGTCTCTCAGTGTAGACATCACATCACTGAGTATTACCGCTACGGGCTAAAGATGAAATAGCCAAACTGAGAGCTTTAAATGAATCATGAACTGTGGTCAGAACAAAGAAAATAAGTGCCAACGCTCAGCTCCAGAAAAAAGAGCATTTTTGTATTTTAAAATGCACTTACTGACACATGCCCAAAATAAATTGGATGTCAATCGTCAGTAAAATTAACACAACAAAGGGTTCGGTTACACTTTATTTTAAAGTGTCATTGTTAGTGCATTACATATTTAAGCACTGAGTAATATTACATGTACCTACTGTAGGGATTTTGTTGAGGGTTATTGCATGTAATTGCTATGGAAAGTACATGTAACATATTGTTGTTGTATCGCTGTGGTATTATAACCTCTGACTCTTCACATCCTCATCATTTGGGAGTGTTTACAAAGAGAATATGCTTTTGCAGAGAAGAAAACAGTGTTTTCTCAACATGTACAAACACTCTCAAAAAACAGGTCCAAAAGCTGTCACTGGGGCTGAACCTTTTCAAAAAGGTACACTTTTGTACCCAAAGGCTGCATATTGGTACCTTAGTGGTACATATTAGCACCTAAATTGGACTTATTACCACCTAAAATGGACATATTAGCTCGTGAAATGGACATATTAGCACCTAAAATGTGCATTTCAGTACCTAAAATTTGCATATTAACACCTAAAATGTACATATTAACACTTAAAATGTACATATTAGCACCTAAAATGAACATATTTGGACCTAAAATGTTCATATTACCACCTAAAATGTACATATTACCACGTAAAATGGACATATTAGCACATGAAATGGACATATTAACACCTAAAATGTACATATTAGCACATATAAAATGTACATATTAACACTTAAAATGTACATATTACCACCTAAAATTGACATATTAGCTCCTGAAATGTACATATTACCACCTAAAATATACATATTAGGACCTAAATGGACATATTAACACTTGAAATGTACTTATTAACACTTAAAATGCACATATTAGTACCTAAAATATATTACCACCTAAAATGTACATATTAGCTCCTGAAATTTATATATTAGCTCATGAAATGGACATTAACACCTAAAATGTACATATTGACAACTAAAACATACATATTAACACTTAAAATGTACTTATTGACACTAAAATGTACATATTAGCACTTGAAATGGACAAAAGTTTACTTTTTAAAAAGGTACAGCCCCAGTGACAGCTTTCGTACCTTTTTTCTGAGAGTGAACCAGCTTCAGTGATGTTGTTCGCAGACAGCCAATCAATACCATACAAGGGAATTATGCAAATTTGTTACATTTGTTGACTGGAATTACAGTTGATAGATACTGATCTTTAAAATTTTGCAGACCTTTTACACTCACAAACTGGCTATATCACAGCACTTTAATAAATGCAATAGAATTAAATTACATATTCAATTGCATGTATATTTTTATTTTAAATTAATTGGCTTTATTTCTAGAAAATGTTTTCAAACTGTGGACATTTGATCCCAAATCTTCCGTTGTAATCTCTCAGCAACACTCTTCTTTGAGGATTTGGGAAAATGTTGGCCTCCTGAGACCTTTTTTGAGAAACTTCTAGAAGCGATTGCTCACTCGCTGTTATCAGTACAGTGGCGTATCTCAACAAATGGTGTTTGATGATAACCTTCCACAGAAACAGCTCTGAGCTCTTCTCCCTGCTAATATATGTTATCTAGGTTGTCATCCAGCACAAATACTGCAGGAAGCAAAACTGTCTGAATGGAAGGATGACTCCAACTTCGCCAAAGTCTTCTTTAGGTGTCTCGGCACAAATAGAGGTAATGTTTCACCGAGCAAGGCTGCTTTGTGATGAGACCATCAGTAATGCTGTAGATATGTCAGCAAACGGCCAAAGCCCATATTACATCAGCACAAACACACACTCACAGGATAACAGCATCGCATATATACACTTACACTCTCAGAAAAAAGGTATACGAAAGCTGTCAAAGGTACACTTTTGTCCATTTTAGGTAATAATATGTACAATATGTGCATTTTAGGTGCTAATATGTACATTTTAGGTGCTAACATGTACATTTTAAGTGTTAATATGTACATTTTAAGTGTTAATATGTACATTTTAGGTACTAATATGTACATTTTAGGTGCTAATATGTACCCTTAAGGTACCATTATGCACCCTTTAAGTACAAAAGTATATCATTATATATATTTATATTGTGTCCTATATTTCCTGTGTGCATAATCATCTTGTTCGGTTACAGCAGAAGGTTATTACAACGCACTAAAAATAAGAGATGATGCATGCAAAATTCAATTATTTATAATTTCCCCCTGTGTGCATTTATTAATTAATTCAGTCAGTCACAAACTCACATCCTTTAGTCATCAGAAAATCAAGTTGGCGGGTCTAAGGACTTTTTAATGTCTGCAATAATCTCATTATTGAGATTCTCAACCTAGAACTTAAGGTTGCGCTATAACAGTGGAAAACATTAATGTGCATGCAACTTTATAAACTATTGGTTATTGTTTTAGCATGCAAATTATTTCGTGAACTTAAAGGCTTTATAGGTGTGCTTTTATTTACAAAATATCTTGTCAAGTCACTTCCTGTTTGGCTCTGGAGTGTTGACATTTGACCTTTGACCTCTAGAGCATCAGACCAGCATTTTAGCAGCAAATGTCTTACTAAAAATCAACACCAACTGATTTTAATTTGTAATGTCATTGGTCGTATGAATCATTTGTACAATGGAGCATGAATGCTAAAGTGTCTGGTTTATCTGTCAGTAAAGAGCTTCAGGCTGAAGAAGATCTGCAGTGATCAATGAATCAAGACGTGTGAAGACAACAGACCCAAACTGCCCTATAGCATCGCCATCGACTCAGGTAAAGAAAGTGTTTCAATCCAATCTGTCCATGTATGTGTTTTTCTGTCATTCTCAATTATCACTTCTTTTTAATAGACTATACACTCACCTAAAGGATTATTAGGAATGCCATACTAATACTGTGTTTGACCCCCTTTCGCCTTAATTCTACGTGGCATTGATTCAACAAGGTGCTGAAAGCATTCTTTAGAAATGTTGGCCCATATTGATAGGATAGCATCTTGCAGTTGATGGAGATTTGTGGGATGCACATCCAGGGCACGAAGCTCCCGTTCCACCACATCCCAAAGATGCTCTATTGGGTTGAGATCTGGTGACTGTGGCGGCCATTTTAGTACAGTCAACTCATTGTCATGTTCAAGAAATGTCTCGAGACTCATCAGACCAGGCAACATTTTTCCAGTCTTCAACTGTCCAATTTTGGTGAGCTCTTGCAAATCGTCGCCTCTTTTTCCTATTTGTAGTGGAGATGAGTGGTACCCAGTGGGGTCTTCTGCTGTTGTAGCCCATCCGCCTCAAGGTTGTGTGTGTTGTGTCTTCTTCACAAATGCTTTGCTGCATACCTCGGTTGTAACGAGTGGTTATTTCAGTCAAAGTTGCTCTTCTATCAGCTTGAATCAGTCGGCCCATTCTCCTCTGACCTCGAGCATCAACAAGGCATTTTGACCCACAGGACTGCCGCATACTGGATGATTTTCCCTTTTCACTCCATTCTTTGTAAACCCTAGAAATGGTTGTGTGTGAAAATCCCAGTAACTGAGCAGATTGTGAAATACTCAGACACCAACAACCATTGCTTAAATCACCTTTCTTTACCATTCTGACATTCAGTTTGGAGTTCAGGAGATTGTCTTGACCCCTAAATGCATTGAAGACACTGCCATGTGATTGGCTGATTAGATGATTGCATTAATGAGAAACTGAACAGGTGTTCCTAATAATCCTTTAGGTGAGTGTAGAATAATATATATACTGTAACATTATAATATTACAATTTTATATAAAAGATTATTGTCTGATTGATAATGATTTTTTTAATATAAATAGCTTCAAAGTTATTAGAAATGTATTTTTATGAAATATAATAAAACTACATATCTAAAACTCTGAAAAAACACTGCAATTGAAAATTGAGTTGAATCTTGTTCGATAATAAGTTGCGGTTCCTTTAGTGTAATAAATGTACACCCTTTAACAAACATCACTATCGATTTTGAACAAAGCATATCTTTTATATCTACATAAAAAGCATGAAATGTAATGTTTAGATTATGTGAACCAGCTTGTGTCAAGGCGGATCGTTAGCATGGCAACTAAAAATAAAGAAAAAGACATTTGAGTTTGATTTGGCAACTTGTTAACCCATTTTACATGTATACAATATAGATTATGGTTTATTATTTTCCGACAGTGTGTCCCTGTAGTGTTTTCAGGTCGACCTGTCGTCTGTCACCTCCACACCCTTCACTTTTCGTCAGGGGATTTCTGATGTTGTGCTGTTGGCCAAACATCTTTATTGAATTACATAATCCATATGAAGGTCGATGTAAGTGCTTGTCACATGATTCATAACATGTTCAGCTGCGTTTAGACTCCTTCCCCTTCAGGCTTTTTGCTTTATTATAAGTGGAGAGACATAATTAGGATCAAATGTTTAATATTCACATTATATTTGCAAAGATTTGGATGGTGAAATAAAATTAAGTGACATTCGGTATGTTTCCATCCACCTATTTTTATGCTCATTTTGGGATATTATGAATAAAAAAAAACTGCTGAATGGAAATGCCAGTGCAATGAAATGTGCATAAAAGCTTTACATACATGTGTTTTCTCTGATAAGAAGACATGAGCGTAAACTTCAATGGAAACACATTTACTGAATAAATCCCTCGATGTGCAACAAAAACTGATTGTGCTGTAAAAAAATGCTGGGTTGTTTTAACCCAATTTTGGGTCAAATATGGACAAACACAAACGTTGGTTTAAAAATGTAATTAAAAAAATTTTATGGCTGGGTTCGTCCATATTTGACCCAAAAATTAGATTAAAACAACATTTTTTAGATTGTGAACTGGACTAATCTGCGGACCAATCACATCACAGCATCTAAAATTTGGTGGTTATGCCACCATTATATATGCCAAAATAATTATAACAATAAATCTTGAAATATCTCACTTTGCATGTAATGAAATTAACTTTTGCATGATATTCAGATTTTTTGGGTTTCATCTGTAAATAGTACGAAAAATGGTAAAATAATATGAGCATAAGGAATAATTCTACAAAAAAATTAAATTCTATACATACATAGTCAATATGATCTACAATGACAAAAGGGCAATACCACTTTACAATTTAATAATTTGTGTAAAAAACACAAAAATGTTTTAAAGAACTATAATGTAGCTAAAATAACACTTGTCACCATGAACTGAAAGGCGAATCTGCCAGAGATAAATAAATAGATAAATGTTTAATTTAATTTTCCAGTGAAGCGAAACTAGTCATGTTAGCTGGCAAACACACACCGAAGCGTAACTGCCAGTCCTTAACATCAGGAGGCTGTTCAATCCTGTGATTCCCAGAACAATTATCCAGAGCAAAAACAACATGTTTGGGTCAAATATGGACAAACCCAATCATTGGTTTAAAAATCTTAAATTAATTTTTTAATAGTTGTGTTTTTCGATATTTGACCCAAACATGAGTTACAACCAACAATATTATTTAAAACATTCAAATATTCACGTTTTTTAGAGCGTATCAGATGGACGACTCGATGATGTCATTTGTGGTGCTTCTTTGCAGTGGGCGGAGCTAGCTATATCTTTTGACATGTTTTGCTTGTTTTCCTTCTCTGATTGGTGTAATGTTCTAAACAGCATCATGGGTAATGTAGTTTTCACCATGAATTGCACTATTAGACACTATTGTTTTATAACTAAGTGTGCTGACAGCTTCAACAGAAGCAAATACTATCAATCAACAGCCTTGTAGCTCACAGTACGGTTTTCTTGAAAGGCCTATGAGTTATTATTAAAAAATCTATTTTCTACGGAGACTATAGTGAACTTTACTGTAACACACTGGAGGATTATACAGCTGCTGTAAAATATAAAAGGGGTGGTCGTAACATTTTAAGCGGCACACTCATTAATGGAAATGTGAATTAGAAATATCACAGGAGGAGGGCTGGCGTTTATGTACAACACGAGTTATAAAATTATGAAAATCTGTATTGGGCTTTGATGCACTAGAAACAACCTGGTCTAATTGATTTGGATATTCTAATTACATTTCTCCAGTCTCATGTCTCATTAGCAAACGTAAAAATAGAGGGCGTAAAAGCTGACATTAATTCAAGCAATCTGCCCATGGGATTCACGAATGAAACACACACACACACACACACACACATAATGGAAGAGCTCATTACATGCACACAATCACGCTTAAAGGCTGACGCAGCGTAACTCTGTTTACATCAGATCCAGACCTGGTGTGTCGTCTCGGTCAGCGCAGGGGATTGTGGGTCACATGATGGCCTGTCTGACACACACAGAGACACACACACACACACACAGAGAAACACAGAGACACACACAGAGAAACACGGGGAGAGACACACAGAGAAAAGACACACACAGTAGAAACACACACAGAGACACACACAGACACACAAAGAGACGCACACAGCGACACAAAGAAACACTCAGACACACACAGACACACAAAGAGACACACACACAGACACACAAAGAGATGCACACAGACACACACAGCGACACAAAGAAACACTCAGACACACACAGACACACAAAGAGACACACACACAAACACACAGACACACAAAGAGACACACATAGACACACACAGCGACACACTCAGACACACACAGACACACAAAGAGACACACACACACTCACACACACAGCGACACACACAGACACACAAAGAGACACACACACAGACACACACACAGATACACACACACAGACACACAAAAAGACGCACACAGACACACAAAGAGACACACACAGACACACAAAGAGACACACACAGACACACACAGAGAAACACTCAGACACACACACAGAGAGAGACACACAGCAACACAGAGAAACACAGAGAAACACACAGACACACACAAAAACACACACAGTAGAGACACACACAGAGACAGTGACTATAATTACAATTATGAAATGATATGAAATGATAAAATGATATTATTTATTTAACAAATACGTATATATTTGTGCATATATGACCAGTATTTGTTTTTTGGGTGAACAATATTTGATGATTTATCGTCCAGCAAGTGAAATGGATGCATCTGATCAGTGTGTACAGTGCAGCCCTCCCCGACACACACACACACACACACACACACAGCTCTCTCCGACACACACATGATGCGCTGAAGAGCTGAACTGCAGGTTTGTGTCAGCTGTTTTCCAGCCGCTTTGATTGCGGCTCATCCAATCAGAGAGTAGATCAGTTTAACTATCCTATCTGTTTTATAACAGACTTGAATCCATCATGTGGTCCTTTAGTGCTTGTGTTAGCAGCTCCGCTGAATTGAAAAGTGGCCTTAGATAAAAAAAAGCACACAATGATCAAGAGCCGACCCTTCATATCAAGCACCCTTTGCTCAACGGGAATTGATCACCGCAGCTTTTACTGTATCAATCACGACCTCTCCTGCCGTCCGACCCCGTTCACTACAACCCTGCTGCCGTCCGACCCTCGTGCCCAATCTAAATTCAATTTGTGCAACTGTACAAATGTCTCTGTTGTTGGTAATGATGCAATCAGCACAATTCCAGAAGCCCCGGATCCTCGTCACAATAGCGGAGGCTGATTGCGTCGCCGTGTGTGTTTGTGCAGTCCCGAGGGAAGGCTTAGGCTTTAATTAATCATTTGGTCAGATTTCGAGAGAGGCGCTCCACCTTTTGTTCTCCGTCATTTTCTGACACCGACTTATTTAACAAGGATTTCTAGCTCCATCTAGTGCTTGAACGGGCATCCAGTTAATGTATGCAGTGTTTGTGTTAGTGCTGTTTAGATATTCATAGAAATTCACAACAAGGCGGAGCAACAACTCAAAGCATAAGAAAACAAATTGCATTTACACTGCCTGTGATGTGTGTTTTCCACCGCTCACACACACTGCGGCACGATGCTCAATTATGCAACTGGAAACGTCTTGCTGCTTCGATTTAGAGTGCAATTAATTTCTTTGCTGTTTTTAATCATGAATAGTTTATCGCACATATTCTGTACGTAGTAGTAGTGTGTGTATTTTCTCGAATACTCGGATATGAATACTGAATGTGCAGTAGGTATACAACACTGTGAAATACTGGATGCAATGCACTTGATTCAACCTTTCATGTATATTTACGTCAATTTTAACTTTATTTTTTTTTTTAAACATGCCAATTATGCATGTTATCATAAATAGAAAATGCACATGTGCATTTTTCATTGCATATTACGTTTCATATTCCTTTAATCAAGATCCATTTTAGAGTATTTTACCAAAATTAAGCATGCATTTATTTAATTTATTTAATGTAATTTATTTATTTAATTTTATTTATTAATTTTTTTAAATAAATTTTTTATTTTATTTTTGTATTTTATTTATTTATTTATTTCATTTATTTATTTATTATACCACTTCTCAAAAGATAATTTTGTGCAACCGCAGTTTTTAATGCAGTTGTTCAAATGTATATTAAAAAAACACTTTTGGTAAATAAAATTAAAATATACAATATACACATTAGATTGAAACAAATGCAAAAAAAGTACTAAAATTATTTAAACTAAAAGTGAAATAATGCATTTAAGCAGAAATATAAAATAAAAACCAAACCAAAAGCACATTACTAAAATATACACAACTATCATTAAAATAAGGTACAATATGTAACTTTTGTCCCTCTAGTGGTTAAAAAACAAAACCGCATGCATTTTACAGAAGATCATTGTTTTGGTTGTGCTGAAAACTGAAAAAAGTGTGCCTTTAATAAATAAGTTGGACTACGCTTGAGGCCAGATGATACTTCAAGAAGACAATATCTTGCCTGGCCATCATTGTATGTAATAATCAAGATTTTTCCTTCTTAAATAAAGGTTAAAAGGCGTTTGCTGTACATCCAGATTGGACTTAAACACAATATTTGCATATGACAGAGTATTGATGTGACCGCAGACCTCATCAAATCTCAGATCAGATCCTCTCTGCTCTGTACGACTCAAGTGCAGATGATAATTTTCAATCTGTTTGTCTTCTGGAGTGTGGCGCACTTCATTAATAAAATCAATTAGCTTGCCCTCATAACTGCGTATTGATTTACACCCCACCATTCATTACTCTAGTCTCTATGGAAACGTCACAGAGCGTTCTGATGTCCTGTCAGCTTATACAACCACTAGTCTACAGAAAGCTCATTAACCAAGGCATCCAGGCAGACTCACACTTAAACACATTCCCAATCGCAGTAAATTCTGCATCCTGCCACTTCTCATAAGAGATCAATCTCTTTTACAGAGTCAATCAGTAACATTTGCCTCCAAATCAGAAGTTTGTGTGTTCATATGCCCTATATACGAAGTTCTGTCATTAAACTCTAGATGGCGCAGACTGTGTCCAACTCAGCAATATCATCAGCAGCAAAATTAACAGAATAACAGCAGCAATAGTAACCCGCAATAACAGCAGCAATTAGAAAAGCAGCAACAATAACCAGCAATAACAGCAGCAACAGCCGCAATATCAACTGCAACAACAGCAACAGCAGCAGCAATAACAGCAGCAATAAGGGAAGCAGCAGCAACAACGACATCAGCAGCAGCAACAACATCAGCAGCAACAAAAACAACATCAGCAGCAACGACAACATCAGCAGCAACAAAAACAACATCAGCAGCAACAACAGCAGCAACAACGACAATATCAGCAGCAACAACAACAACATCATCAGCAACAACGACAATATCAGCAGCAACAAAAACAACATCAGCAGCAAAAACGACAATATCAGCAGCAACAACGACAATATCAGCAGCAACAACAACAACATCATCAGCAACAACGACAATATCAGCAGCAACAACATCAGCAGCAACAACAACGACAACATCAGCAGCAACAACGACAATATCAGCAGCAACAAAAACAACATCAGCAGCAACAACATCAGCAGCAACAACGACAACATCATCAGCAACAACGACAATATCAGCAGCAACAACGACAATATCAGCAGCAACAAAAACAACATCAGCAGCAACAACGACAACATCAGCAGCAACAACATCAGCAGCAACAACGACAATATCAGCAGCAACAACGACAACATCAGCAGCAACAAAAACAACATCAGCAACAACAACGACAACAACCTCAGCAGCAACAACATCAGCAGCAACAACGACAACGACAATATCAGCAGCAACAACGACAATATCAGCAGCAACAAAAACAACATCAGCAACAACAACGACAACAACCTCAGCAGCAACAACATCAGCAGCAACAACGACAACATCAGCAGCAACAACGACGACGACAATATCAGCAACAACAACGACAACATCAGCAGCAACAACGACAATATCAGCAGCAACAAAAACAACATCAGCAACAACATCAGCAACAACAACGACAACAACCTCAGCAGCAACAACATCAGCAGCAACAACGACAACATCAGCAGCAACAACAACAACATCAGCAACAACAACGAAAACAACCTCAGCAGCAACAACATCAGCAGCAACAACGACAACATCAGCAGCAACAACAACATCAGCAGCAACAACAACATCAGCAGCAACAACAACGACAACAACCTCAGCAGCAACAACATCAGCAGCAACAACAGCAACAACGACGACGACAATATCAGCAACAACAACGACAATATCAGCAGCAACAACGACAATATCAGCAGCAACAACGACGACGACAATATCAGCAACAACGACAACATCAGCAGCAACAACGACGACGACAATATCAGCAACAACAACGACAACATCAGCAGCAACAACGACAATATCAGCAGCAACAAAAACAACATCAGCAACAACATCAGCAACAACAACGACAACAACCTCAGCAACAACAACGACAACAACCTCAGCAGCAACAATATCAGCAACAACAACGACAATATCAGCAGCAACAACGACAATATCAGCAACAAAAACATCAGCAACAACATCAGCAACAACAACGACAACAACATCAGCAACAACAACGACAACAACCTCAGCAGCAACAATATCAGCAGCAACAACGACAATATCAGCAGCAACAACGACAACATCAGCAGCAACAACAACATCAACAGCAACAACGACGACGACAATATCAGCAACAACAACATCAGCAGCAACAACGACAATATCAGCAGCAACAAAAACAACATCAGCAACAACAACGACAACAACCTCAGCAGCAACAATATCAGCAGCAACAACGACAACATCAGCAGCATCATCAACAGCAACAACGACGACGACAATATCAGCAACAACAACATCAGCAGCAACAACGACAACATCAGCAACAACAACAGCAACGACAACAACATCAGCAACAACAACATCAGCAGCAACAACAGCAACAACAACAGCAACAACAACAACAGCAACATCAGCAGCAACAACAACAGCAACAGCAACAACATCAGCAGCAACAACAACATCAACAGCAACAACATCAGCAGCAACAACGACGACGACAATATCAGCAACAACAACGACAACAACAACAACAGCAGCAACAACAACCTCAGTAGCAACGACAACAACAGCAGCAACAACAACCTCAGCAGCAACGACAATATCAGCAGCAACAACGACAACATCAGCAGCATCATCAACGACGACGACAATATCAGCAACAACAACATCAGCAGCAACAACGACAACATCATCAGCAACAACAACAGCAACGACAACAACATCAGCAGCAACAACATCAGCAGCAACAACAACAACATCAGCAGCAACAACATCAGCAGCAACAACGACGACGACAATATCAGCAACAACAACGACAACAACAGCAGCAACAACAACCTCAGCAGCAACGACAACAATATCAGCAGCAACAACAGCAATAGCAACATCAGCAGCAACAACGACAACAGCAGCAACAGCAATAATCAGCAGGAATAACAGCAGCTTGCAGATCTATTCTGCCAAGACCAAATATATTAACATTGTTATACCCATTACCATGCCAAACACTTCAGAGTGTTCTTGACAGAATGTTTTTCCTCTATATGCACGAACAATAAAGCAGGCAAACGAAGCTCTTGGTCTCTTGTGATCTGAAATCTAGCAGAAAAATACTAATTGCTATTACAGACAAAACCGCCCTGTAAATGAGTCCTAATTTCCCATCGTTTTAAGCCAAGCAGGAAAACTGGATTGAGAAAGAGTGCTCTCTAAATCTATTATTGTCTTTCCTCAGAGAATTGACTGAAATAATGTGCAATCCAACATGCATTAAACATCTTTAGGGCTTGATTGAAGCTTTGGTGTGTTCGGAGGTGGAGAACACCAGAACAACGCTTTTGCTCTTTTAGTAAACAGAATAAAACAAACACTTGACGTTACAAAATGAGAGACTCAAACGTTGCAATTTTTTTGCATTCATTACAATGCAACATGGAAATCCATTCTCATAAATGTGAACAATTTAAAACATAAACATGCAATCCAGTGTTAAAAGGCGTCTTATCAGAGAAGAGGTGGGGAATAATTGAGCTCGATGTACCTGACGCTACGGCCGTGTCCTTGTTGGTTTGACTCTCAAACATCTGGCTGTGTTTGTAATAATGAGTTTAACATCACAATCTCACCTCTGAATGACGCATCAGCAGATGGTACAATATGATCTGGCTTTATTATTATATATATAATATTCTCCTCAGTGTGGCATGCGAGTTAATGTTGGAGATCATGAACTTTTATAATCATCAAGCATATAGGATCAAAACAAAAATAATCTGGTTTTATTTTCTTCATGCTTCATTATCGGAGATGAGACATTTTCATGGAGCAATTTCACACAAATTCTACTTAGGCTACTTAAAACTAATAGAAAATAAACTGCTATAATATGTAGTTTGACAGTGTTGGTTTAGTTTAATTTAGTAACCCGTGCTGGTCATTAGAAGTAATTAATTCCTGATTTCCCATGAAAAAGTAAAGGGATTAATATTCATTTTTATGTAATTTAATTACTGTTAATACTGTATAGACTGTAGAACAAATCTCTTTTAATACTGGTCAGTTTCAGAATCATGTATGCAATTTTATATTATAAATTTGACAGAATTAAAAGAGCATTTTAATGTCTAATCTTGTATTGCTCAGCAATTTACCCCACACTGTTCGTATCATAACATTCATTTTTTAGATTTTAATTTTAGTATTTTGTTGGTTATATGAATTTGCTTTCCGGTCATTTGACAATTTTTATTTTTTAAGGGTTTTTTTTTTAAGATTTTGGCACTTGCGGTGTAAACAAAAAATGTAGTACCATAAATAAGTAGTACCATGTGTGGCCGTGCATCGCCACCTAGCCGCCTGGAGTGCATACTACATTGAATCTCACACACATTTGCGTCACCATATGCGCACGCATTTCCCACCCAAAACGCTCGTCTAAACACAGAATAAAAAGTGATACCGCAACGCTACTTCTGTGTTTTCTCTTCAGAATCGTTTCCGTGTAAAGTAAACCTAGCCTTATTCCTAGTCTTTTCATTGTTTATTTGCCGAGAAACTTGCTGTAAGAGAGCAGGCGCTGTGTGTGAAGTGAACAGTCGTAGTTGATTATATGGTTAGTTAGTTAAATGAGTGTTGTGTCTGATGTCAGGACACAGAATGTGATCGAGGGACATGTTTCTCGCTCTGGGGACAATAATGCATCTGTCTGTTTTGGTTATTATCAGTGAAGCTCCACATCTGCTCATATTGCTTCTCCACCATCCTCACAAAACTGCCACATTCCCAGTACACAACAAACCACAAACTCAAACAATTTACCTCAGAGAGAGAGAGAGAGAGAGAGACTTTTTTTTTTTTTTTTTTACTTTTAAACACACTTTAATTTACAAGAAAAACTAACAAAACAAAAATACCCAATAAACAAAACAAAAAATATCACCAATTAAAAACTAGGGATGTGCAAAAATTAATTGCGATTAATCGCATCCAAAATAAAAGTCTGTGTTTACATAATATATTTGTGTGTGCTGTATATAATTATTTTGTACATATAAATACACACACTTCACCAAAGACTTAAAAAGAGACACCATGCTTACATCCTCTCCAGCATTTTTACACTGATGCGTCTTAAAAATTGCTAGTTTAGCTTGTCCTATTAAAAAAATGGCAAGTGTACACTGTTGAGGCCAAGACTTCCTGTATCGGCAACCCAATATAAATAGACTATTGGTAACGAAAAACCCAATTTTACAATGATTTCACCCAACAATTCTAAGACACTCACAATTTTGCATTGCAAAAAGGACATATCGGTAAAACAGTCTCATTAAGCTTCGAAATATAAGAATTTGAGGCAATAATACAATGCAATAACCTCCACTGAAGGTCTCCACATCTCTTAGAGATAGTAGGTTTGTACAGTAATCTCCAAGATGGATATACCTCATCAGGAATAGAAAGCACAGTCCTTCATTTAGTGTCCAGTCTCGGTTTCAATTGCCCAAGATGTACAGACTTCAGACATATAATATAACATTTTTTTCTCAATACCAAAAAAACCCAAATCCCCATAACCTTTCAATAAGTTTGTTAAGTTTGTATCATCAACTGATTCCCAATCTTTAAGAACCACCTTAAATTCAGGAAATGTTTTCTGCTTTTTTTTTCTTTTTTTCTTGATGAAAATTTTCAAGGAAAAGGAATTTCTGCACCAAAAAACGTATGATTCATAATTTAGTTGTAACCGCTAAACAGCAGAGGGTTAAAGTAGGATAGTTGACGGCGTCAACTATCGGCGTCACTTGACGCGCTTACCGTAGTCGTTTTGGCTTGCTTCAGTGATGATACAACAAAACTTTAAGTTCTGTTTTCTTCTCTGTTGTGAGAGATGTTTATTGGATTTACACAAGGATTTCCTTTTCCATAACAGAACAATATTCCATCTTCACCAACACCGTCACATAACAAGCATTCAACCACAGCCTCGGTGCGGTGGCGGTCAAAAACTAGTTTGCCCTTTCCCCTCTGGCAACACCTGTCCTTGATTACAGGTACCCGTAGATGAGCCATGTCATAACCCTAGCGCCACCTAATGGCCAAACCTGGACAGAAACATTGAAATGGCTCCTATACATTAGGTTTTCATGACTATTTCGAAATGTAAATGTGAGGAGTGTTAACGTGTGTCGTCTCTCACTTACAGTGATGTCATATCCGAATGCCGTTTCATGTTACAGTAAAAATAGTGAAAAATTATTACAATTTAAAATAACTGCTTTCTATGTGAATATATTTTTAAATGTAATTTATTCCTGTGATCGAAGCTGAATTTTCAGAATCTACGCCAGTCTTCAATCTCACCTGATCCTTCAGAAATCACTCTAATGATGGGTGTTGCTGTACGTGTCCTGAATGTGAACTAGAAATAGTGCAGAATCTGAAATATATAGCTAGGCTATATTTTTATTTATGTTTTAAATTGTTTTTTAAATAGGTTTTAAAAAAAGTAAATTCCAGGTTTAAATGGGTGAAAATCTGGTGAAAATCCGATATGTGCACTACAGTCTCAGTCTTTTGGACCTCAAACAGTGTGTTTATGATATTGCAAGCATCATATGCAGCATGTATATACAGGAATAAATCAGTGGATATACAGTAAACGGCTCATTGAATCCTGTGATGTTTTGCACCGTCAGTCGTTTCGTCATGTAATGTGCTCTATCCATCTTTTTCAGGCTCTATGACTTTTATTAAAATGAGCAAACCCCCAATGCGCCTGTAAATGTCCCGCGGGCGTCTACAATATTAATGACAGTCAAATCATTCGACAGAAATATTCATCTGGGTTTCTGAAGGGCTTTGTTGACCTCTTATAAATAAAAATATTTTACTCTTCACATTTCATGGTTCATTTTATCTTAAAGCAAAAAAAAAAAAAAAATCATTCACGTGTGTCAAAAATGTTATATTATCGGTCTGACACAGTTATCAAACACTTTTTTATCACAGAATAGATGTATTTATTATAAATACATATATTTATTTATTTATATGTATATATATGTGTGTATGTATGAAATCCAGCAGTTGTGATACACAGACCGAACACATGATGCCGCTCTCACTTTTAGTTTATACAACAACGTTGTTGAAATAACATTAATAATAATAATATAAGTATAATATGACATTTTAAAAACGAACAGTGCTAAATATTCATTGTTATTTATTATTGTGTGTAGTTTGACAAATCTGATAACTATAAACTTCTAAATCTTGTCGCCTGTCTGTATAGTAAACCTTTGAAAATAAAATTGTAAATGTGAAACATTTTATAATTTTAAATGAATAACTAGCAGTTTTAGTAAATTCATTTTCTTACACACAATATTTGTATTGAATGATTACATAATATTAATAGTAATTCAGTGTTAATTGAAGTGTATTAAAAGATAGATAGATAGATAGATAGATAGATAGATAGATAGATAGATAGATAGATAGATAGATAGATAGATAGATAGATAGATAGATAGATAGATAGATAGATAGATAGATAGATAGATAGAAAACAAACAAACAGGACAAAAATATATTTATAAAATATATTTAAAATAGTTGTGATGCGTTTTAATATTTCAAAAATATTACTGTAAAATGGTATATCGCAGCAATGAGGCATCTATGTGTTTATTATGTTTACTGTTTGAAATACAAATCGAAAGTATCTTTAAAACAAACCCCGCCCATCGCCATGTCATTGGCTAAATCATGTCACGCGTCATTCCCTCATTTGGAAAGCGGAAGTCGCGAATACAGTCAGTTAGGCAGGCTATCAGCAGCAGTCAGTTCAGTTTATGGAGCTGCTTCTCCAAACTTAAAGTTTAATCAAAATCACAGTAGGATCTGTAGTAATGAAAGGATTCGGATTATTGTCGGTAAGAAAGACATGTTCCTTCTCGTTTAGATGTTTATTAGGGCTAGATGGAGAAAAAAAGTGAAGTGTTTAGCCTACATGAGAGACATTTTGAAAAATCGAGTAATGAATGTATCATCAGACATAACGTGAGTGGGGGTTCAATCTTCAACTGGCTGGCAGGAGCTGCCACTGGCAGGTCACGTGACTGACTGGCAGCTGCCAGTGGCTGACTGGCAGCTGCCAGTCGCTGCCAGTGGCTGACTGGCAGCTGCCAGTGGTTGTCTGTCAGTCTAGTTTCAGAAACCATTGATTTTTGACAGTTTTTGTGTTTTGTGTTCCTCCCTTTATAGCTCATTTATTATGTATCTGTTGAAATTATTGTTATTAGTAGTAGGATCGCAATTTAATAGTCAAATGGCCGTGATCCGACTGGCAGCTTGCAGACGCTTGCTGGACGCTCATCCAGCCAGCCGCCGCTGACAGCGAATATAACGCGTTGCCTGACACTCTCGCTAAAAGGAAATAAATTGTTTTCTTATAATGAATATAATGTCATGCCTTTATTCTTGTGTATGATTGGTGTTTTGGGTACTGTTGTCGCGATTAAACCAGTCAAATGGCCGTGATCCGACTGGCAGCTTGCAGACGCTTGCTGGACGCTCATCCAGCCAGCCGCCGCTGACAGCGAATATAACGCGTTGCCTGACACTCTCGCTAAAAGGAAATAAATTGTTTTCTTATAATGAATATAATGTCATGCCTTTATTCTTGTGTATGATTGGTGTTTTGGGTACTGTTGTCGCGATTAAACCAGTCAAATGGCCGTGATCCGACTGGCAGCTTGCAGACGCTTGCTGGACGCTCATCCAGCCAGCCGCCGCTGACAGCGAATATAACGCGTTGCCTGACACTCTCGCTAAAAGGAAATAAATTGTTTTCTTATTATGAATATAATGTCATGCCTTTATTCTTGTGTATGATTGGTGTTTTGGGTACTGTTGTCCCGATTAAACCAGTCAAATGGCCGTGATCCGACTGGCAGCTTACAGACGCTCATCCAGTCAGCCGAGTCTGAGACTGCGAGTCTAACGCGTCGCCTGACACTCTCTCTAAAAGGAAATAATTTTTTTTCTTATTATGAATATAATGTCATGCCTTTATTCTTGTGTATGATTGGTGTTTTGGGTACTGTTGTCGCGATTAAACCAGTCAAATGGCCGTGATCCGACTGGCAGCTTGCAGACGCTTGCTGGACGCTCATCCAGCCAGCCGCTGCTCATCAGGGAATATAACGCGTTGCCTGACACTCTCGCTAAAAGGAAATAAATTGTTTTCTTATTATGAATATAATGTCATGCCTTTATTCTTGTGTATGATTGGTTTTTTGGGGCCGTTTATCCCGATTAAACCAGTCAAATGGCCGTGGGCACATTATACATTATACATTATGACATTATATTCATAATAAGAAAACAATTTATTTCCTTTTAGCGAGAGTGTCAGGCAACGCGTTATATTCGCTGATGAGCAGCGGCTGGCTGGATGAGCGTCCAGCAAGCGTCTGCAAGCTGCCAGTCGGATCACGGCCATTTGACTGGTTTAATCGCGACAACAGTACCCAAAACACCAATCATACACAAGAATAAAGGCATGACATTATATTCAGAATAAGAAAACAATTTATTTCCTTTTAGCGAGAGTGTCAGGCAACGCGTTATATTCCCTGATTAGCAGCGGCTGGCTGGATGAGCGTCCAGCAAGCGTCTGCAAGCTGCCAGTCGGATCACGGCCATTTGACTGGTTTAATCGCGACAACAGTACCCAAAACCCCAATCATACACAAGAATAAAGGCATGACATTATATTCATTATAAGAAAACAATTTATTTCCTTTTAGCGAGAGTGTCAGGCAACGCGTTATATTCCCTGATGAGCAGCGGCTGGCTGGATGAGCGTCCAGCAAGCGTCTGCAAGCTGCCAGTCGGATCACGGCCATTTGACTGGTTTAATCGCGACAACAGTACCCAAAACACCAATCATACACAAGAATAAAGGCATGACATTATATTCATAATAAGAAAAAAATTTATTTCCTTTTAGAGAGAGTGTCAGGCGACGCGTTAGACTCGCAGTCTCAGACTCGGCTGACTGGATGAGCGTCTGTAAGCTGCCAGTCGGATCACGGCCATTTGACTGGTTCAATCGGGACAACAGTACCCAAAACACCAATCATACACAAGAATAAAGGCATGACATTATATTCATAATAAGAAAACAATTTATTTCCTTTTAGCGAGAGTGTCAGGCAACGCGTTATATTCGCTGATCACCCGCGGCTGACTGGATGAGTCCAGCAGCGTCTGTACTGCCAGTCTGATCATGGCCATTTGACTATTAAATTGCGATCCTACTACTAATAACAATAATTTCAACAGATACATAATAAATGAGCAATAAAGGGAGGAACACAAAACACAAAAACTGTCAAAAATCAATGGTTTCTGAAACTAGACTGACAGACAACCACTGGCAGCTGCCAGCCAGCCACTGGCAGCGACTGGCAGCTGCCAGTCAGCCACTGGCAGCGACTGGCAGCTGCCAGTCAGCCACTGGCAGCTGCCAGTCAGTCACGTGACCTGCCAGTGGCAGCTCCTGCCAGCCAGTTGAAGATTGAACCCCTACTGCATAACGTTATGATAAAGATTATTATTCAGTTTTCATCTAAACTGCGGTAATGTCTGATCTTCTTTTTGATCAGATTAATCTGGTTTTAAATGGAGATATGACAACTTGGTTTCGGTTCTATATGACAAAACTTCCTTTCAAGTTTTTGTGACGTTTGGTATACAAATATTATATTTGTAAGGAAACAAGTTAGATTAATTAATTTTTAAAAGTTTGTTGCGTCAAGTCAACATTGTACCACTACGGAAAAATTGAAACATTTGACATTTTCACGCAGAAAGAAAGAAATATGTTTACTGAAAATGTCTATTTTTTTTTTTAATTGAACAAAACAACAAAAACACATTTATCCAGTTTTTAATGTATTACTAATTTCATATCTAATAAAAAGTAACATTTCATATCCAGCTGAATGTTCACATCAGGCAACATTGGACCATAGTGGAACACAAGTATTGCCAAACCATCATATCATCACATTAGCGTATCAAGTTATCATATTCATATCCATATATTCACCCTGCAGGATTCTCTGTTACTATGACCTCACCTGCCTCATCCTCACCATCATCAACTGGCAGTCGTGTTTTATAATTTTAGGTGATATAGAAAATGTGCAGATCATAATATGTGCAGATATATGAGAGTTACTAATAAGTGCATTACAAAATCATGCAAAAATGCATATATATGTAGATAATTCTAACATGTTTCCTTACAAATATAATTTATTGCATAACCTAAATCCTTGGTATATGGCCTTATGTGATTCCATTGTGGTACAATTTTGCCTTGAGGCAACACCGTTTTTTATGTCCTCTAAAACATTTGATATATAATGTAAATTGTAAAGTTCTTGAAATACTTCTAATATCATTATATACTTGTCTTATACTTATACTAAATTACTTACCAATGAAGGTGACTGGGTGATTAACTAGATGCAAATTAGTGAAGAATGCACTTTCGGGAAAACTGAAGCCTGAACAAGAAGAGTGTTTGGGAAACATTTGATTGTTATGTGATTGTTATGTCACAGGTGATTGTTATGTCATTGGCTTACCGGGAACCAATGATTTTATACTTCAGACAAGCGAAATTATGCCATTCCAGACTCTGTCTATGAAGCAACACGAAGTTGCAGAGTTTGGTATTATCAGGCTACATAGTAGGTCTCCTTTAACTAGAAATAGCCTACCAAAAAATATGACATTCATGTTCAATTTATTTGTCTTCTCCACAGAACATTGGGTAACCAGTCAAAAAAACAGCTAAAATAATTTATAATAGCCTACATTTATAGATGTCTTTGTCAGATTTTGGTACATAATGACGTCTCTTTCGATCTCTTTCACCCACAGATCATTGTTAGCGTCTTTCCCGCGGCGCACATGGCGAAAGTCTTCGTGTACGGGACGCTAAAGAAAGGCCAGCCCAACCACTTCATCATGAAGGATCATGCCAAGGGTCAGGCCGAGTTTGTGGCTCACGCTCGCACCGTTGACCCATACCCGCTCGTGATCGCAACCGAATACAACATCCCCTTCCTCCTAGTCCTGGACAAACCCGGGACGGGTCAGCGCGTTCACGGAGAGATCTACAGCGTGGACCAGAAGATGCTGGAGTTCCTGGACGAGTTTGAAGAGTGTCCACAGATGTACCAGCGCACACTCATCCGGCTGGAGGTTCAGGACGGGCCCGGTGGAAGCACACCGGAGACTGGAAGTAGCATCGAGGCTTATGTGTACACCACAGACACATATGAACCCGAGTGGCTCGAAAAAACAACATATGAGAGTTATGATTCTAACGGTGATCACGGCCTGCCTTATGTGCCACATTAATTTAATTTACTTTTTTTAATTTACCATTCAGGCATTTTACAACAAAACTGTGTTGTGCATTGTTTTTAAAAAATAAATTTTTCTGTCCTGTCATGACAGTGAGATTATTTAGCTGTTTTATTTCCTTCCGTATGTCCAGTGACAAGTATACAATACTGTATGCTAATTGGAGGGGGTGGGCGATGATGGTTTGAAAAATGTTCACCTGGCAGAGTCCCTACATACAAGTCAAATCACCTTCATTTCTATAGCGCTTTATAAAATACAGTTTGTTTCAAAGCAGCTTTACAGAGATAACAGGAAAATAGTGAGTCAATTAAACAGGGTTCATTCTACTGTAAAGTGTCTCTAAATAGAAAAATTGAGTCATTGTTTAGTGTCCGGGAGACTAATGGACATATGGAAACATGATGAATGCAAATGCCAACTAGTCCTTGAAAATGAAACTAAAAACACAGATCGTGACAGCAGGTTTGGTTTCGGTTAAAGTTTATTTACACTGATTATTTGAAGAAAAACTTGATTTAAGAGTTGATGTCAAGCTCTGTTTTATACCCTGTGAAGTAAACAGTCATGGTTGGTTATATTGCTGCTTGTATATTGCTTGATATCATGTTTTTGCCTATGTGTAGGGCTATACATATTTGTTATGGGTGAATAAACTCTCTAACAGTGCGATATGGGTTATTATGTGATGTCATTTTTATTAAAACAATAAATAAAAACACATGTCTGTTAAAGAAAAAATGACTGATAAACACATTTTTGGAATGTAATTAAATACCAAGTAATTTGGGTGTCTTGTTCATTATTTTGATTTAAAAGCAATAGAACTTCAATTACATTCAGTTTATTAGCAACAAGCGTGAATCCCGCGATATCAGTCTTTGATCATATTATTTCTGACCAACTGCGAGAAGAGAGATCTGTCCGGCTTGCCTGCGCTTTCTTCACTCCTCCTCTCACTGCAGCCGCCTACTCTTGTTCAGAAGAGGCAAGGCACATCTCAAACAAGCCTAGAATTCTCTGCCATTGGTTTGTTCAGTTCAGTTGATAAACCTGTTCCTCCAGAGGTTGAAAGTTACAGTTTGTTCTGTAAGCTATTATTAAAGGATTCAGTTTATTGACGGTAAGAAAGACTTTTTTTCTCCTTTAAATGTGTCGTGGATGCAGAAGGTGATGAAGTGTTATTGCATTTTATATGAATACATCATCATATGATAAGGATTGTTATTGTTCAGTTCTCATCTAATAATCATATTTAGTTTTAAATGGAGATATGACAACTTAGTTCCTTTCTGTGCATCATCTTATTAAACATCTATGCTTTTTGCATGCTTTTATTATGTGATCAACCATGTATGTTTGACCTGAAAATTATGTAACCGAGCTTTTGTATTGGGTTAGCCTAAACTTTTGGATAATAAAGTAATGGAAAAGAGACACAGAAGTGCCATAGGTACGCAATACGAAGGGCACGTTCTCGAAAGGGAACGTACTCGGTAACGTAACCTCGGTTCTGAGAGTAAGGAAACGAGTATTGCATAGCCGTTAGCATGGCAATATGTTGAATACCAAGCTTACATTAGCTATTTACCAATTCACAAGCACAAGAGAAAAAGTAGCCTATGTTGAACTTACATTTACCCTGGAACTCAATGGAAGTTGATTGAAGATGGCTTAGTTGGTCGTAACCAGTCAACTGAACCAAGAATCTTTTCACAAAACCTTCTCCACAGATCACTGAACCAATCTGAAAAAGCAACTAATATCATTGATAATACATTTATAGATTTTTTTTATCAGATTTTGGATCAAAATGACGTGTCATCTCTTTTAGATCATTAGTGTCTTTCCCGCGGCGCACATGGCGAAAGTCTTCGTGTACGGGACGCTAAAGAAAGGCCAGCCCAACCACTTCCTGATGAAGGATCATGCCAACGGTCAGGCCGAGTTCGTGGCTCACGCTCGCACCGTTGACCCATACCCGCTCGTGATCGCAACCGAATACAACATCCCCTTCCTCCTGAACGTCCCCGGGACGGGTCAGCGCGTTCACGGAGAGATCTACAGCGTGGACCAGAAGATGCTGGAGTTCCTGGACGAGTTTAAAGAGTGTCCAAAGCTGTACCAGCGCACACTCATCCGGCTGGAGCTGGAGGACGGGCCCGGAGGAGGAAAACACACACCGGACGCTGGAAGTAGCATCGAGGCTTATGTGTACACCACAGACACATATGAACGCGAGTGGCTTGAAAAAACAACATATGAGAGTTATAACTCTAACGGTGATCACGGCCTGCCTTATGTGCAACATTAATGTTTACCATTTAGGCATTTTACAACAAAACTGTGTTGTGCATTGTTTTAAAAAAATATATGTTTCTGTCCTGTCATGACATTGAGATTATTTAGATGTTTTATTTCCTTGCACATGCCCAGTGACAAATGTATGGAATCTCTGAATGGGCTAATTTATTTGATTTTTTTATTTTGAAGAGCTGAGTTTAAACTCTTAAGAACTTTATGACCTTTTGGTTTACTTCTTTGGGAATGAGACATTTTAAATGATACCAAATATGTATATAATACTGTATGACAATTATTCACATTAAACCATATAGTTTTGTGGGTGAATATCTGGTGATCTCAGCATGAGAGAGAGAGAAGGGATGGGGTAAGAGGGAAAGAGATTTTGAGGTGAGACCAGGAAGTGGACATAGGAAACATGATAACATGTGACGTAAAAGTCCTTGAAAATGAAACTAAAAACACAGATCGTGACAGCACGTTTTGTTTCAGTTAAAGTTTATTTGCGGCTTTTCTCCTCAACGTTACTATTACTAATTATATCATGACCAAATACAACCAGAAACAAATATGCAGTCTTACTTGTGAAAGACAATTCCTCGAGACCTGTTTTCATTTGTGTGACGATCTATACGTTATGAGAAAGTTGCCCGACGCAATATGGCGGCGCCGTTGACACGCTCCACCGGCCAATAGGGAGTCTATGTATCTATTATATCTATGATTTCATCATTTTGGAGGCGGAAGTCGCGAATACACCGCTATCAGTTTGTTGTTCAGAATCAGTTCAGCTGATAAACCTGTTCCTCCCGAGGTTGAACGGTACAGTTTGTTCTGTAAGCTATTATTAAAGGATTCGGTTTATTGTCGGTAAGAAAGACATTTTTTTCTCGTTTATGTGTCTTGGATGCAGAAGGTGGTGAAGTGTTATTGTATTTTATATGAATAACGTTACATCATCATATGATAAGGATTGTTGTTCAGATCATCTGCGGTAATGTCTGATCATCTTCAGTTTTAAATGGAGATATGACAACTTGGTTTTCCTATAGGACAAAACTTCCTTCCCTTTCAAGTTTTTGTGACTTTCTGTGCGTCATAATATTATTAAACATCCACATGCTTTTTGCTTTTATAATGTGATCAACCATGTATGTTTGACCTGAAAATTATGTAACCAGACCAGAGGCGGACAGAGTGCACAGCTTTATTACTTGAGCAAAAGTACAGATAGGCAACACTTTGTTAAATTTTACTCAAGTACAAGTAAATGTATTACAGAGGTCTACTTAAGGAAAAGTACTGAAGTACTTGTTTTTAAAAGTTCTTGAGTATCAAGAGTAGCCTACATTTTCTAAATATTGCGTTACTGCCACAGTGCAAAAACGTCCTACATGGAGTTATGAAAAATGTTAACATTAATACATTGGAGAATGTAAGGAACCGGCCGCACTGAGTAGCATGCAGCAAAATGTCGAAAACCAAGCTTACATTAGCTACTATTCCCCACCAATTCATAAGCACAAGAGAAAAGGTATGTTGTACTTACATTTAATACCCCTAGCTGGAACTCAATGGAAGTTGATTGAAGATGGCATAGTTGGTAGTGTTGTTACTTCTCAAACTCTCAAAATCCATCAAACATCCCTGCATGAGCAACTTTCTGACATTCTGACTGAAAGTGGGTGAATATCAAAATACATGAACCACTTACAAGGCAACACTATTGAAACAATTACTTTTTATTACAACTGCACATAATAATAATAAATAGGCCATTTGGCCCTGGACTAACAGTGTATTCATCCATTCTATTGGCTGTGCTGGCTGCACGAGTGCCGAAGTGATGACGTCACTTTGTAGGACAACCCGGAAGCTAGCGGCGCATGGGTTCCCTCGGTCGAAAAGCAATGCATTTACCCCATAGACTTTTGGAAAATCGCAAAAAATAAGATCTGTGTTTAACAAAGAGTTGTGACCCGTACACGTTTTGTCTAGCAAGATAATCTTTACAAGTTAATCCAAAATTTATACATTTTGAAGCCTATATAAAGATTAAAAAAAAAACACAATCAGACACAATAAAGTTTAAAAAACCACAAGCAGGTTATAACTGTGTGCTCTATGTCATAGCCTAGATCAAAACGTGAAAATATTTGGAGGCTTTGTTCACCACAGACCTTATTTCAGGCGATTTAGCGAGGGAACTAGTGCTAATGCTAACTCGCTTTTGCGTTTTTTACAGCGTGACGTCGTAACTTCGGCACTCTCACAAATAAACAGTATGGGTATATTATACATTTTCTGAGTCATCAGAGTGCCTCGAGTATTAAGTTTTGTGTCCCTGGTGTTCGTTCATGCCACAGGGATAAAAGAAAGCATAACAGTTTAGGCGGAAATTGCTTTAAAGAAGTCACGTGACCTCCGTGTTTGTCAGACAGATTCAGTACTGGTCTAAATGAAAGCCTAAAAGGTTGAGCCTAAACCAGATATACACCAAATTTCAAAAACAGAATTTATTTGAGGGGATTAGTAACTTCATGCGCTGAAAGAAGTGATTTCGCTACACCCCTGCACTGCTATCGTGATTCTAGTAACGTTACTAGCGCGGTGTGTAACGTTATCATGCCAAAAATCACTGAGACTTTGTCCCCTCAAATGATAACGAATCACTGAACAAATCTGAAAAACCAACCAAAATCATTGATAATACATGTATAGATGTCTTTATCAGATTTTGGATCATAATCGCGTCTCTTTCACCCACAGATCATTGTTAGTGTCTTTCCCGCGGCGCACATGGCGAAAGTCTTCGTGTACGGGACGCTAAAGGAAGGCCAGCCCAACTACTTCAGGATAAAGGATAAGGCCGAGTTCGTGGCTCACGCTCGCACCGTTGACCCATACCCGCTCGTGATCGCAACCGAATACAACATCCCCTTCCTCCTGAACGTCCCCGGGACGGGTCAGCGCGTTCACGGAGAGATCTACAGCGTGGACCAGAAGATGCTGGAGTTCCTGGACGAGTTTGAAAAGTGTCCACAGATGTACCAGCGCACACTCATCCGGCTGGAGGTTCAGGACGGGCCCGGTGGAGGAGAACACAAACCGGAGGCTGGAAGTAGCATCGAGGCTTATGTGTACACCACAGACACATATGAACCCGAGTGGCTCGAAAAAACAACATATGAGAGTTATAACTCTAACGGTGATCACGGCCTGCGCTTTGTCGGTCGTGAAAACAGACGCCCTGAGTAACATTTACCAGGGTTTTACCACACCTGTCAGTGTCACGCAAATTTAAATAAAGGAGTAGTTCACTTTTAAAAAAAATGTTGCTTATTATTTACTCACCCCCATGTCATCCAAGATGTCCATGTCTTTATTTCTTCAGTCGAAAAGAATTAAGGTTTTTGATGAAAACATTCCAGGATTTTTCTCCATATAATGGACTTCAATGGGAACCAAACGGTTCAAGGTGCAAAAGACAGTTTCAGTGCAAATTACAAACTGTTCAAAGGGCTTTAAACGATTCCAGACGATGAATAAGGGTCTTATCAAGCGAAACGATCGCTCATTTAAAATATAAATAACAAAGTTTAAGTTTTATAAGCTCAAATGGTCGCCTTGCTCTGTTCTGTGATGCGCGTTCGTGACTCTCCTGTTCAAAATGAACGAATCCTTTCCCGAGTCAATTCGTTGAATGAACCAAATGACACGAAAAAAGATTCGTTCATTTTGAAAAATCCTGGAATGTTTTCATCAAAAATCTTAATTTCTTTTCGACTGAAGAAAGAAAGACATGGACATTTTGGATGACATGGGGGTGAGTAAATTATCAGCAAAAGTTTTTTGAAAAGTGAACTACTCCTTTAACCATCCAAGTATTTTACAACAAAGAGAGCGTGTGTGAGCATTGTTTTTTTGTTCCGTTATGACAGCGAGATTATTTAGCTGTTTTAGCAAAAAATAAGGAAAGAAAATGAAGAAATGTACGTTTTTAGTCATCATATAATGTATTCACATTTCTCAGGGAATCTTCCAGTCATAACAGAGTTTCACATGGTGACGTTGCAGATATTTTAGCAAATTAATGAGAAAGTACCGCATACATATTTGGAGGGAGAAAACAAAATCCTGAAATCTTGATCAACTTATTGGTACTGTATATTATGCGCTGTATAATGTTATTAAAAGATGTGATGATTTCTGTAGACTTTATCATTTAAATCTGTGTTAAACTTAAAACCGTAAATGTTTAATTTCTAGCACGTGGCAAGTGTTTATTTTGGTGTTAATGTGGTATCAAATGGCATTATTAATTTGATGCTGTGGTTTATAAATATGATAGTTGACCAGCACTGTGGTGTATATGGTTTTTCAGCAACACTATTAAGGATGATTCAACTGTAAAAAGAAATGAGAACAAAATAGAAATATATATATCATGGAATCTTAATCTACATATAAAAGCACTCCAATATTGAATAGATATCAGGTGTATCTGATTCTGTACATATGCTGTAGATGAGTTTTCTAAATTGCACTTTAAAAATTAATTGAATAAATTCAAAATGTTTTCATTTTTGTTGTTTTAAAAGAAATCCATTTAAATGACAACACATGCCATATATATATATATATGGATTTGTTTATTCTGAACATATTCACGCACTGTCAAACATACATATCTGCCAACATAATCCATATTGGGTTTTTTAATATATATATATTTATATGCATTAAGAAAGAATTAAAATGCTTAAAAAAAGATAAAAGAAGAATTTTGGCACTGGAGCATTTAGACAAAAGGCAGCCGCTTCCTTCGGAGAAAGACTTTTCTTTTCTTGCACCATGACTGAATAATGGCGAACGCCGAGGGATTGTGTGGAGTGGTTCACAGTTAGTATCAAAACTTGTATAAAAACGTCCTACAAAAGAAAGGTTGAAAGTCTCAGGCCAGCAGAGATGATGCACCCAAACATTACAAATCCAGCGTGTGTATAAACCGGTCCGGGATGCCCGGGTCACGTCACCCAAAAACACAATTTTGGCTCAAATCAAGCATATTTTTAGGAGCAATATGATTTTTCATGACACGTTTTCCCCAAAATTCCTAATGTAATATGCTAATGAAAATCATTTGAGTTTTATTTGAATAAAAATCAGTATAAATTCATCAACAAATTTACCCAGTTAAACTAGCTATTCTACCAATATACAGTATATAGGGCTGTCAAATGATTAATTGCATCCAAAATAAAAGTTTGTGTTGACATAATATATGTGGGTGCACGGTGTATAATTATGTTTTTATATATATATATATATAAATACATACACATGCTTGTATATATTTAAGAAATATTTTAATGTATATACTGTATATAGATTTATATATAATTTATATTATATGTAATATTTTATATATAAATTATATTTTTTCTTAAATATTCATGCATGTGTGTGTATTTATATATATAACATAATTATACACAGTGCACCCACATATATTATGTCAACACAACCTTTTATTTTGGATGTGATTAATCACAATTAATCGTTTGACAGCCCTAATATATATATATATATATGAAGAGTTCAGATGCAAAAGTCTCTAAATGCCATTTGAAATTTTCTTCTAGAATGATCATTTTTATCAAACTTGTATATTTAAGTTCAGTAATTTCACTTAAATGGTAATGAAGACTACCTATTAATTGTCATTTAAGTGAAATTACTGAACTTTAATATACAAGCTTGATTAAAAATGATCATTCTAGAAGAAAATTTCAAATGGCACTATATATATAAATATATATATATATAATGCGAATTTCAGGGCAAATTGTCACGAAAATACAATATAAAATTAACTTAATGGTCCTAAAAATAGGCTTTATTTTCTTCATGCAAACGAATTGCTTAATTTGTTTCCTTTGGATTTTGGGGTGAAATATGATCTGAACATCTTTCACCAGTTTTGTGTGTGTGTGTGTGTGTATGTGTGTGTTTTTCACTGAAATGTAGACAGGCGGTGTCAATTCTTCATAAACATCATTATTAAAAGCTGAAAAAGTGTCCCAAGATTAAAAATGTCATTGATAATTTCTCAGTCAGGCATTTAGTTTGTGTAAATTGTTCGTAAAACAGTTCAGTTCATTCAATTCAATAACACCGTTCTCACGTACACAATATAGCACCCAATAAACCATTTATAAAAGCACTCGCACATAAACGCTCACGTACAAATCAATAAAACATCACCAATAAAAAATAAAACATTCCTGAAAGCATTCTTGTGAATTTTACGAACAATTTACACAAATGAGTTCACGATCAAAGACTGTTTCCTAACTAAACCGTGTCTTTCTGCACATTTAAAACGGGAAGTGTTTGACTTGACCCTGCTGATCTCTCCATCGATGATGATAGTGGTATTTCTGACCTCCATATTCTCACGACCTCACACAACTTCACATCTGAACCCATTCAAAGGTTTTCTATAAAGTGAAACGACGATATAGCACACGAAACAATCCCACTCAAACCCGCTGCCATAAGAAATGTGTTGTGTTGGGAGAACCTGATTGAGAGCGTCCTGTGTGTGTGTGTGTGTGTGTGTCTTTGGTCAGTAGGGATGTGGATCTTTGCGGCTGAAGGAGCGGATGTGATTGGACGAGCACGTCGCACTGCGGATCACCTCCATCCACCTACAGATCACATGACAGGAACATGATTCGGGACTGCAGTAATAATGCAATGTAATCTGTCTGTATAATATGATTACTAGGGTTGTCAAACGATTAATCGAATCCAAAATAAAAGTTTGTGTTTACATAATATATGTGGGTGCACTGTGTATAATTATTTTGTATATATATATATATATATATATATATAAAATACAAACACATGCTTGTATATTTAAGAAAAAAAATATTATTTATATATAAAATATTTATATTTATATATAATATAAATTATATATAAATCTATATACAGAATATACATGAAAATATTTCTTGTATATATTATATATCTTGTATATAAGCATGTGTGTGTGTTTATATACAGTATATATATATATATATATATATATATATATAATTATACACAGTGCACCCATATATTATGTAAACACAAACTTTTATTTTGGATGTGATTAATCATTTGACAGCCCTAATTATTACTTTTATAATTATATTATTTATGATTCATGCACTTTTTGTTTTAATTTGACATATTTTGTATTGTTTTACTCATATATTTTATTTTTCGTGGCACTTTTCTACTTTAATATTTTTTGTTTTGATTTTTTATAATTTTTGTAGCATGTTTCTGTAATAGAGTATTTTATTATGAAAGCATGCTATCAAAAAAAAATGTTACCGATATAAAAATCATAAAATATTGTTTGCTTTTAATTTGAGATATTTTACATTATTTACTTATCTATTTTATTTTGTGTAGCACTATTCTGTAAATAATATGAGGGATGCACAGATCTGAAAATGATACTTCTTTATATTTGAAAGTTGATATATTGGCTGATAAATCTAAATCTGATTTTTTTTTTAAGAGCCTGATTACAAACACAAACGTGGTAAAACTAGCCAATCTTTATTATTAATAACATAAAAAATGAATAAATATCGATATGGCGGCCAATATATCATGCATCCCCAAATAATATAATTTTGTAATAAAATTTTTATTTCGTAATATGTCTTTGCAATGAAGTATTCGGTTACACTTTATTTTAAGGTGTCATTGTTACAGTGTAATTATATAGTTAAGTAATGAGTAATATTAATGAATAGGGTATTAGGATTTGGTTGAGGGTTAGTTGCATGTAATTATGTATAATTTACTATTAAGTGCGTGTAATGTACAGTATGTCACTGTAAAATAAAGTGTTACCAAGTGTTCTCATTAAAGTGTCGTGGTCGTACGCACCTCTCAAACGTGTACTCGCTCTCGGATCTGAAATAGTAGACGTGTGATTTGAAATGCAGCTTGAAGACGTAGTCTTTATGGATGTTCTCGGACTCTGAGGGGATGGTGATGGAGTATCCCAGCAGAGGAAGGCTGGCCAGGGGAAACTCGTCCTGCAAACACACCTGAACGTCAAACACGCCACGGACACTCCATTAAAGCTCACGAGAGATCGTCTCACCTGGTGTGTTTTGTAGAAGAACAGGCTGAAGTTGGTGAAGACCACCCATAACTTCTGCCAACCGTTACTGTTCTTGAACTTCCTCAGCAGATTCCCAGACAGCTGATTCTGAACAATAAAGACCAATGAGAAAACAGAAGACGCT